TTGACAACAGGATAGAGCAGCTTTTACTCATACAGGTTCAGAATTTCAGAGCTTGGCGCTCCGTTAGCGAGAGTGAATATGCGCTTCTTCAGTATTTTGAGGCGTCATCAGTGAGCTCCTGTTCATTCATTCTGTTATTAGGCGAAACAGATTTCGGTTAGTATTATTGAGTATAATAATTCATTTATATTATAATTGCCTGCTCCGTTCAGAACGATAAACATCTTTATTTATGAACGCAGAGCGTCTTCTTTTCATCAATCTTTGGTAGCCGTCTCTGAGCTGATAGGTTCCCAATTGCCAGAAAAGACAAAGCAGGTTCTGTTCGCAGATTTTCGGCCGATAGCCGCAGCTCTTCAACAGCTTGTATGGTCTTAGTTTGCCAGGGAAACGAACCCTGTATGTTTAGGTTTGTAAAGTTTCGAACGTTTTGGTCAATGTCCGCACTGGTTGATCGATTTGGAGCCAGAAGGCAAGTTTGTGGTTAGTGCTGCAGGTTATATTGTTTCTGGGCGTCAGGGAAATCATAACTCATCCAATTTACAAAGGGTTCATACGTCTAGTCACTGTTGACACTCTTGCAAAACTGGATGATTACTGCGTCCCTGACATGCATCTGCAATAGGTGGTTTTCTATGATGCCAGTACACTCTGACCATTGGAGGCGAGGCGTTTCGTTCATTTGTTAGGTGCCACACCACGCTAGAGGTAGTTTTGCATACTTACTTGACCATGCCTGCGGTGAGGCTTTGTTTTCTTCCCGGGTACATGTTACCATAATGCGCGATCAATCGAGCAACAATCGGAATAGACTCTGTGGTTGTGGAGCATGCGGCACTGCAAGGACACCATCTTCCACCGACCGAAAGTAACCACTGTTTGTTTTTACATAGAATTTAACAGCATTAGCTGTTTTAAAATGATAATCGCGACTAATGAACAAATGGACATAACTTCAATTTAATTTTACATGTACCTATTACAAAAACAAGATACTTCGATAATACATAGTTATCAGTTCTATAAGCACCGCCACTACAGTGCTGATTTTAAATAGTTTGTGGCTGGTGGTGTGCAAAGGTGGTAGATAGGTTTTCTTGCATTTCTTGTTGGCTTGATGTAAATGATGGATAGAGACACTGCAGATGGAATAACTGCGGACGAATTTCGTCTGTATGACCGGCAGATTCGACTATGGGGGTTAGATACGCAGCGGAAGATTCGCGAGAGTTCCGTTCTCGTGTGCGGCTTGTCAGGCTTAGGGGCAGAGGTGGCAAAGAACCTGATGTTGGCAGGAGTAAAATCGTTAACTCTCATGGACAGCGAGGAGGTGACTGAAGCAGACTTGCGTGCGAACTTTTTTCTTGTCCCGGAGGACATTGGAAAAAATCGAGCTACCGCTTCTTCAGCAAGATGTCGGGAGTTAAACCCAGGCGTCAGTGTTTCCGTAGTCACGTCGCCTGCAGAAGGGCTGAACGTTGATCACTGCCGTCAGTTTTCCTTTGTCTGCCTGATGGAACAGACTTTTGAAACAATCGGTAAGGTAAACCAGGTGTGCCGCCAAGCGCACGTTCGATTCTGTTCCGGGAACGTTGCGGGCTATTTCGGTTGTGGGTTTTTCGACTTTCTAGAACAGACTTACCGAATGGCACAGACAGTGTCGAAGGATGAAGTGCATGAAGTTAACAAATTAGCTGTTCCACATCATTCACCTTCGAAGGTTCTCGAAACAGCAGCTTTTATTGACAAGGACAGCGATGATCTGTCCGTAGTTGCCGAGATCGGGAGCGTGGAAATCGCTGAAGGCACTCTGGAAAGTTACCATCCTCTTGAACATGTGCTGGATGTACAGTGGAAGACAAAGAAGGTGCAAAAAGGGGGTCGACGCGCAAAAATGCTGTCCGACTCTTACTTTGTGTTTCAGGTGCTCTTTCGTTTTACAAACATACGGGGCTCATTTCCTTTTGGCTCCCAACAGGATATGGTCATTTTAAGGAAGCTGCGCGATGAAGTTTTGGCCGAATTTGACAAATGTACGGAAAAGGTCGAATTCTCTGCCAGTTTTGCCGATTATATCTTTGGCCAGTTGAGTCCGGTGTGCGCCATCCTAGGCGGCTTCTTGGCTTCACAGATAATCAATGCTATTTCAGAGAAAGTGCAACCGTTCAACAACGCTATTTTCTACGACGGTTTCGAAAATAACTGTCAGCTATTGAAGTTGCCGCTGATCTTACAGTGTAAGTCATAGATGTAAATCTCAAGAATCTGAACAATTTTTTTTTGTTACAATTGTTTGATACCTTATTGCGTTTTCGTCTTTCATCCTTTCTACTATTGTAAATATTTCAATTATTTATCTGCGTTTTACTGTCAAGAAGTGTTACGTGTTTCAGACTGTGCTGCTGCAAAATAATTAACATTCTTGTATAGAAAAAAATATATCACCTAATTTCCATAAATGTCTTTAATTTTAGATGTGTTGAAGGGCAGGTAGAAATGATAGTATGATACGTCCTGAGCATTGCCGACTGCGTTTTGAGCTGTTTCATAACATTTTGTAATTGCTACAGTTCTCCAACACAGATTCGTCTCGTCGTTGCTCATGTACAGCTTCCCTTGACAATATACCTTACCATGTTTCGTTTCCAGTGTCAGTATTTCGCACACTTGTGAATGGCATACTGTCAGAGTAGCTGATTCCATTCAGTTTATGGAAGTCTGTCAACGTTTAAAGCTGCCAAAACCCCATAGGAATTTTACAAACGCATTAAAAAATGGGCAAGCAACCTCCAGAAGAAGGTTGTCTCAACACTAGCCCTTAACTTTCCGATTTTCATGGCCATTTCTTTCATCGTTAAATAAAAATTGCTAAGAAACATCGTTATTCAGCTTATGTTGATTTATTATATCTTGTTTTTCTATCGAAGAGAAGTCAGTCTGTTTCAAGTTCACGTTTATTTAATTTCTAATGAATGATATCGGATTTACGCGGTGAAAACATGCTCCTTCTTACTTTACACCAATATTGCAGTAACTTAATCAAAGCAGTACTAATCAATCGCAAATGGCACAGCTTGTTATTAGAAACTTGCTTCAGGAGTAGAGTGTGTACTGCGTCTGGATACTATACGGTTGTTGCAGAATCTCGTCTGAAATTGTTAGTGCTGCATCGACGTCGTCTGATGGGAACACATCAGCTGCTCTATGTGAATAGATAAAATATGATGACCAGAATATGAGCTTACGAAAAGGCAGTTATTTTAGTGCCCATTCAAAAATGACAACGTTTATGAAGGGTAGAAAAACTTTAAACAAGACATCATTTCCTTGGCGAAAACATATTTTGGTCAGCAACAGCAATAGCCTAACTGTCCTGGGATATGAAGAACACTCAAGCTTTTAGAGCAGAAAAGAATTAGGCAAAGAACCTGTAGCTGCAACACCTTTCTAACCCTCGAAGGCAGTTCATCGTCGTGCAGTCAACCAAAGCTATAGACGGAACGGAGAACTTTGGCTGGAGGGGAAAATCAGGAGGATAGACAAGGCAGCCAGAAAGGGTGAGTGACGAACAATATTCAAAGGGATGCGTCATGTGTCTAGTAAGTACCGAACTCGATCTGTCCTTATCCAAGGCGGTAGGGGTGCCCCCCCCCCCCAATGGCAGGTCAGAAGGAACCGTTCGAAAGATAAGCTACCGTCCAAAGTCATCATTTCCAGCACTACAGCTTGGTACAGATCCATGCTCAAAACTAGAGGTCCATAAAGCTTTCATACCCCTCAAGGTAAAGGCCTGCGGGGAGGATGGAATTCCTCAAGAATTAATTAAGTAACGGAAATGTTAGAAAAGCAGTAGGTCCTGTGTAGCCAAATCTTGACCTAAAAATATTTCCAGAAAATGTGTGTTGAGTAATTCTCGATATTTTGGAGGGAATCAGGTGTTCTAGTTTTCGTAGTATCACACTGCTCTCAATTCCCAAGAAACATTTCTAATGGACAATCTCGGAAGGCTGAAGCAAGAAATTGATGGCAGACCGCCAAAATCAAGCAGGTTTCCGGAAGGAGTACCTCTGCCAGGCTATTATTATCACTCTTTGTAGGATCTTTGAGCAATGTCGATTATTCAAGTTGCCTTGGTTTAGCAGCCTCCTCGGTTTCATGACAACGTTTGATTGATTACATCGTCTGATAATGTGAAAAATCTTGAAATAATATGGTATACCTGAGTACATTGTTTCTTATTGAGAAGATATCAAACAGTAACCATTTCTACCGTAAAAGTTAGGCAGAACTGCTTAAGCGATTTTCTATTAACTGTGGAGTTCGTTAAGGAAATGTTTTCCTTTGCTATTCAACACGGTTTCCGATTTTCTTCTGTGAAGCAGTGCTGATTCCATTGAAGACGAACGTTTCATTCTGGAGGGAAGACACAATTTAAGATATGCGGCTAAATATATTGCTGACCTGAAGTTCGTAGGTCATATTATCCTGGAAATTTGAGAGGAAGCGGGCTGTATCACTTGACAGCTTCCGTGTACAACACTGCTACGAAAAACGACCTTTTTGCTAACGCCCGGAAATCCAAAGTTGTGAAAAATCTGAACCGCATAGATGGAACAAGAAGGTAAAGCCCTTCAGCAGGTTGACCAGTTTAAGTCACTCGGCTCCATTACCTCCAGCGATTTAATTATATTATATTTTCAGCCAGAATTTGATAGAAGGATCGGTCTAACCTCAAATGCTTTTGAAAACGTATGCAATAGTTCGACTGAGGAAACAATTACCGTTCCCACGTATATATTCATGTATTTTACCTCTAGGTCGGTATTTTTGCGTGGTAAGATAATTCTTGTAGCGACGGTTGAACTACGCATAGCAGCATTGGCTTGGACGCTTAATAGGGGTTAATGGTAGTACCACTTAAAGAATGACTCTATTCTCTTCCTGCAAACAAATGATCTCGGAGGATGTGCACGTTAAGAAATGGAGGTTGGCCCTGGTAGAAAAACTGGTTAAACATACATTATTTATTCCAGCCCGTCAGCTTCTCATATTCAAACCAAAACGTGGCAGACGCAGACCAGGATGTAACGTAATAAAACAAAGTATATCTGCTTTCGGAGAGTAATATTTCTTTCTGCGATGCAGTATCGACACCTTAGAGCAAAAGTATCGGAAAGCAGCAGTCATCAGATAGGAGAGACGTTCTGCTTATGCAAACAGTTCAAGGTGACGATGTTAAGAAACACAACAGATAAGCCAGTAAACAATTGGAATTAACTGTGATATAGAGTCAGAACAGATAATCATACCTGAACTCAACTGTTACGGCAGAACTTCAAGGTACTTGTTCAAAACGTGTAAAAGTTTGGTATAAGCAGTCCACTGCTACTAGGAGGAAAATATTTTTTGCCGCCTAAACGCCTATCTATACGATTGGCAATAAACAGCCTTCATCCTAGAGTTTATGAACTAAAATGCTAACTTTGTTTCGTTCCTCGCTGCCAGTAATAAGTTATTTTCTAACATCAATGTCTAAAAGCCAACACAAGGTGTAGTTTCTTGCCGGATTATCATGTTGTGATGTTCATTTGTCTAACATAGAAAAGTAATCGTCTAAGCGACAAACTTACGATTGCAAATCTGGAACTCCAGCGACTGAACTACCCTGATTTATGATTGAATGTCAGTAAATGCATAAAGTATACATACGCAAAAAATCAAAAGTTCAAAATCCTCTGCTGGAAGTCCGTCATCGAACCGTTAGCAAAAACTGACAAAAGATATTGCCATATACTGAAGGGTTCATCGTTGTTTACCACTACGCTCTAAGACCACACAACGTCGTTGAAGATCAGAAAAATATGCAATAAAAATCTAATACATAAATCTGAAAAAATAGCGATTTCTGACGTTTGCAACTGAAAAGTTTTTTTGGAACAATAAACAATGACAACATAATTAACAACGGCAACGATGCCATGCAGAATGCGTACGCAAAATTCAGTTACTGATAAAATCAGACGTTTATCCACGCAAAATTTTCAGAGCGGCACAGACTTTGACCGCTGGCCCTAGCTTCAATCCCATTGTCCTTACCAAGTGATCTTCATGCAACAACAATAAAGCTTGACCATCTATTTCCTGCTGCTGAAATGTGTTGCAGTACTGGGCAACGCCTGGCCCCAAGGACGACAACCACATCTGAACCTCCTGCACCTGTAAGCAAACGAGAATATTATAAACTGACTTGGAACGAAATATTACAAGAATAAATAGACATTATATATAGGAGCTGAAAATGCAGCCACCGAAAACGAATCACTGGAATAACATTCAAAGAGACAAATTAAATATACTGGACTAAAGCTATAATTTCAAAACATTTCCCGGAATTTGAATTGTTAGAGTAACTGACGTCGATGGTTAAATTCTGGAGAACAAACATTCAAAAGCGGCAGCTATTTTGCTAGAATATTCGTTTTCGCTTGGAAATTGGATAGCATTTTTTCTGGCATGAACCACCTTTAACTTTCACCTAAGTTGCTGCCTCAGATGCTGAACTACGCTCATCTTCGTGACGCATGCAAATTGACGGTCCCTTACTTCAAAGCCACTTTTTCCATGCATCCAACTGAACTTATGGTGAATACCTCTGTGACCCCGAAGCAGCAATCAAACGCATTTCAAAGCGCGGCATACAAAAGCAGCCCCGAATAATCTGAAACCTTCCCATCAGCTTCTACGTAAGCCATAATTACTGGCATTTTTTAAAACCGTCGAACAATGCTGTTTACAAGTTTCGCCCCGTGATTAAAGAAGACAGTCTCCCATTTGATTCTCTA